GCACTAAGACTAGATATCCTTGGCTACGTAGAGAATAAACTAAATTAAAAAGTCAAAATGACATGTCATGCAAGATCGATTTTTAAGAAATCCATGTTGAGTATCATTGATAAATTTTCCAGCAAGTATATAGTTGGAAAGTTCATCATTTATAATTTTTTCCATAATCCTAGAAATAACTGCAGTAATATTTATTGACCGGTAATTGTTCATGTCAGTCTTATCTCCAGATTTGTAACGTGGTATGATTCCGCGGTTTTCCAACAGTAAGGGTAGTAACGAGTTTCCATAGAGAGAGTAAACAGCTTTAGAAGAAGAAGTGAAATATCTGGACCACCATATTTGTAGAGAAATGATGAAATCCTGTCTACTCCATGACCTTTCGAAAGCTTAAGGGTATTTATAGCCTTATTAATTTTCATGCATGTGAATGAGATAGATTTTATTCAGTCGCTAGTCACGCACATAACTCTTGAAGCATAGACACTTATGTTTTCTACACCATTCGCGAATATACTGAAGAGGCCGGCCATGGTTTTAGAGTCGTATATAAAAGTGCTATTATGCTGGATGTACGGTATATCAACATTTCGAGTTGCTTTAGTGCGTTTATTGAAAAGGGGAGTTAAGTTTTGTACTTTCGAGTTAGTATTAAGGGCTAACAGCTCCTCAATAATGGCTTTTAACCTATGTTTCTCTTTAATTTGATTAAAAATTATTGTTATTTGTGCAACTGCTGTGAAGTCGTTTGACTTAAAATAACGATTCTGTAGGCGTCTTAGTTTATTACGATATTTAGCTGGTATATATAATTCGTAAGGTTTACTAAACCTGTACGTTTTACAGTTACACTGGAATCTAAACAAGAGTTAATGATCAGATAGAATTCGTCGATAGCATCCATAAGATTATTACATGAAAAAATTTATCCCAGTCTGAAAGTTTAATCAGTGAATGCAGGAGGTCCCAGTCAGCATGCTTATAGTCTCTATATTGGCAGGTTTTTTGAATGGGGGTGTTATGAGAGATAGATAAGGAGAGCGCAAACTACTGTCTTATGGTCACTGCTTTCAAATTCATCATATACTTTTACAGATAGTGGGATAACATCTCTACTAAATATTAGATCGAGTATACTATCGCCTCTAGTTGGGGTACGAACCCATTGTGACCAGCAGTGCATGTTAATGGTTGCTGAGAACACATCGTTACATGTCTGACTACTACCGGTACTCCAGTTGATCCCAGGATAATTGAAATCCCCAGTGATCAATTTAGAATTAAAGTTTAAAGAGGATGCATGTATGAATGCATTGATAATAAGATAATTCCCACTATTCGGACTATCAGGAGCTCTGTATATACATCCAAGTAGTAGAATATGATTCAGGTTGTTGACTGATATCCAGACTAATTCTGGTAAACTATTCAGGACACTATCTTCAACTTTATTAGTTGATAGGGTATCCAAAGCATATATAATACAACCACATCCTCGCTTAGTTTCTCTGTCGCAGCGATAAAGTCGATAGTTCTGGATCTTTAATTCTGAATTAGATACTGCTTGAGAGCACCATGTTTCATTGATAAGCATGAAAGAAGGTTTGGCTAGAAAAGCTAATGTTCTCAAGGCTGAAATTTTGTTCAGAAGTGAATGTGCATTGATAAGTAATAAGTTTAAAAAAGGAGTGTGGGGTGTAAAAAAACCGGCAGCTTCCCTATTGATGTTAATGCAGCACTCACCGTACTCTTCAAATACCCCTTTTCCCACACTCAACTCCCTAAAGATTTAAAAGGTGCTTTGTTTAGTCCTATATTTAAAGATGGTCAGATACAGATGGTTTCTAACTATCGACTTGTCAGTCTATTTATTAAGGTAGTTAATTTTTTTGAAAAAATAATTCGGGTTAATTTACTAAATCATCTAGAATCATACAAATTGTTGACCCCCGAGCTAGACGGGTTTCAAAACAATCATTTATACCCAATCAACTTGATTATTACAAGAGAGGATTAAACAACAGCCCTAGATAACGATTGACCTTTCAATTTGATATTCATAGACATTAGCAAAACATCTGATAAGCTTTCCCACTTAGGTCTTATGCAGAAGCTCCCGAGCTTTGGAATAACAAGTTCTGAGCAAGAGTGAATAAGAAACTTCATATGTGACCGAAGACAGAGAGTGAGAGTAAATGGGACTCTATCTGGATGAAAGATGGTCGAAAGTGATATACCCCAAGGCAGGATCTTACGTATCCTATTTTTTATCCTTTTCTAAGTTAATAAATTACCACGATTGCTTAGGTTGCCAGAATTATTACTTGTGGATGATGTCAAAATCTGGATAACAGTAAGAAGCGAAACTGACCATTTTGATCTACAAGCTGACCATAACCGATTATCTAGATTGTCTCAATGTTAGGGTTTAAGATTTTACTCTAGAAAGTGTGCTCATACACATGTAACACAGTAGCTGTTACCAATGTATTACCGACAGTACATCTCTTTCATGCATACAGGGACATAAATACTTGAGGACAATAGCAAGACGCGAGTTGAAAACAACTAGGCATTGAAACGCAGCAACCACCTAAATGTTTCGCGCGTTATGGTCACTTCACTAAGCATTCAAAGGCTTTAACTAGATATTCACGTTTTATTCACCACCAACCTAAGACCATAATAAGAGTACGGTGTCAAGGCGCCTCGCCTATGTCTGATTAAGGACGTTTACTCACTTAGGTGTATTCAGCTTTTGGGAACAAAATTAGTGACATTCCCCACAATCGACCCCTAAAACGCCCAAATCTGTTCCTCTTATCGTATCGCAGAACGAATGGTGACCTTATATTTGCATTCAATATCCTTAATAACGATTTGGGTATAAATATGAGGAGTCCCATACTAGGACGAAACAGCCGTCCAGTGCTTCCAGGTTTTCAATGGTGGTCTAGCTTCAACTGACTCATGATTTAAATCTGTGAAAATTTCTAAAATCTTCACAAACCCCTTCTGATAATAAATATGTCTCATCATTTTGCTCATTTCAACACTAATAAGCTTTGAGACCATAAAAAGAAGGTTCAAAAACCGCGATCTAATGAACTCAGAGTGGGGTTCCGTTTTGATTATCGAGTGGCCACTGACTGACAGGTATCAACCTGATAATCAGACGTTCTCAAGCAAAAGCAAGACCTCTACTGGAAGTCAAACTATAAGCATTTACACAAGTCGAATAAAGTACTATCTACATTACTGTTAGCTGAATCTTTTGAATATTCGTTCCGCTATACTAGGGGAAGCAGCTTTAATCATGGTAACACCTCTTGGCGTGATGTTATCACATTTGATAAGCCGAGGCACATTGCCGGAAAGTTGGAAGATGGCTCACATCACAACAATTTTCAAAGGAGCTCAACTCAGAGAACCTTCCAGCTACCGACTGGTGGTTCTTCAAAAGTTATGCAGTCCCTGATATGCGACTGCACAAACGACAATTTATTATTATTAAACTTCTTTATCACCTCAACAGCGTGGTTTCAGAAAGCGTCATTCTTGTATAAGCAGCAGTGGACAAATGGACAACCATCCTCGACCACCAGGAGAAGTTTGACACCATTTGACATGACTTCTCAAAAACTTTTGATAGGCCCAACCAAAAATGTCTTATCAATAGGCTCAAACGATTAGGAATGAAGTCACCTTGAATTGATTGGCTCACTTCATATCTAAAAAATCGACATTGTATGGCCAGGGTTAGCTTCAACATCTGTCAGAATATGGAATGTCCTGGTGAAGTCCACGAGGTTTCAGTACTGGAAACTATTCTTTTCTTGGGTTATATAAACGATCTTCCACAAGAGGTATCGACATACTCACTAGATTTTGCTGGTCATGGGAAACTTTGGAGAGATATGCAACCAAGAAGATATGCCCTCACTTCTGGAAGGCCTGACTCGACTTCAAAGTTGAGCAGATGACAATGGACTCACCTTTAACACTTTGAAGTCCATTTGAGACATGTTGCAGACTACAGTTAAAACTTAGGAAACTCCTATCTGGAAGTATACCAAGTTGCAAGAGATTTAGAAGTGCTAGTACCTTAAGATTTGAAGTCCTATGCTAACTGTGACAAAAATACCTTTCGAGCAAACCTTGCACTGGTAACATTGAAGCGCATTTTTGGCCAGTTTGACGGAAGACATTTCCACATAATCTTCGACAGTGTCATTCGTTTTCATTTAGAGCAGGGAAACAATATTTCCTCCCTCACTCCAAAAATATAAGGACACCGAGGAAAGTATCCAACGGCGAGCCACGAAATCAGTTCGGGGACTCAAATTCAAGCCTTATGAAGAACGCTTTCGATCACTAAGCCTTCACCCATTAGAGTACAGGCGTCTTAAAATGGACCTAACGGCTTACAGCATCATTAAAACTTATGGACATCCCCTTAAACACCTACTTAGGTTTAGTTTCAACACAAACCTAAGGGTTAACACCTAGAAACTAGGGAAAAAACATAGCACAACGGACGAAATTATACTCCTCAAGAGTTGTAAAATGCTGGAATTCGTCGCTGTCTGAGCTATTTCAAGTGACTTTCCAGGAATCCTTTAGGAGAAATCTTGACATATTCTCAAGGGTTAAGGATAGTATTTTACCATGATTTACCAATTTCTTTTTCTCTTTTATCATTGATATGCCTAGGTCCCTAACTGGATATGTCGATGATCCAATGTTACTTAAAACGGAAGACCGTTAAGCGAAAGCTTCTTCTATTCCATCCATAACTATTTGAGCCATTTGAACCATTTGAGCCTACCTAAGTTACTACTCGCATCTGTAATTAATGAAAGTTCAAAACCTAATAAATATCATTATCCATTTGTAGAGTAAAGTACACTATGATAGTTAGTATGTATTTCAGGTGTTTTAAGATTTCGTACTTCACCTTTTCTGCATGTTGATGGAATTCAATATTGATTCTTTAAATAGTTCAATATCTTGCCTTAATACAGTTGCGATATTTTGAATTACTATTTTTTCCGCGAGATCATATGTAGTATTATTAGTCTTTTCTTCATAACAACTTTTATATAAATTTAGTTGATTTGTAGGCCAAGAACCAGATTGTCGATGATGAATCATCCACAAAATGGCTCTCCAGCATTAGATATGAAAAGAATTGAAGCTGCAAAAGCTAATCGTCAGTTGCAGCTTGAAAACTGGAGGAATTATGAGCGACAGATGCAAGCATCAGAAAAACATTCAAAGAAAAATCAACCTCGTAAATCAAATAATTTAAAAGTTAAATTTACCGATGACTGCGTTCTACTTGATGCTACTCTTCGTGGAGATTATGAGGAAGGTGAGTTTTTTTCTTTCAAATCATCGTCGAGAAATTATTTATTCGTATTTTAAGGCAATTAAGCCTTCTTATTTAAATGAAACTTATCTTAATGCATTTATAAAGACATTTTCTATGGGAACAAAAGTACATTCAACGCCCTTTTAAGACCACGAACCAGACGATCTTAAGAACTCAAATATTTTATAGTATAACAACGTCTCCCTACGCTTTCTCCTTATAAAGCTTTGTGCTTCCTAAAAATTACACGTTTATCTACATATTATTCATTGTTATTCCAAGTTCAAAATTTTGATAACTTTATTTGTACTAGTGGTATGTTCATTTGGATACAGTAAGTCAGATTGTAATGACTGATCCACCAGTAGGTACTTTTTTTATTTTGGCATTTTTTAAACATAGGGAGAGTTCTTCTTATGGGATTATTCAAAAGTTTGCTCGTACAATTTTAACCACTTCATTTAAAAGTGGAAATAAATTTAAGTAACTTCCTTAAAGCTTCTCTTAAAACTAAACTTTTGTCTACCATAAATTCTATAGGTTGAGCCTGTATCTATATGCACAAGTCGCCAAGACCATTTAAAGCCTTTTACTAACCTATGATTTAGTCCACGAAGAAATCAGTGTAGAACTTGACTATGAAAATGAATATATATAAAAATAAGCTAATCCACCTGAACATAAATGTAACGGCTAGCAAACAAGCTAGCGGAAAAGTACAATACAATGAACAAACGACACTTGTTCTGAGGGCATCTATGTTTTATGTTTTGCAAAAATTTTCAATTACAATTTTAAGTGATAGGACATGTAATGAAGGCAAAGTGATCTTGTATACTAATTTTATTAGTTCTTATGGTTTTGCAAACAAGTGAGCAACTAATTTTAGGACTCAGAGGTAGCGTACGAAGAATTTGTATGCAGTTTCACGAAGCATGCCAAGATTGCGAAATATGTATTTCTCAGATATTGTAATCTTAAACGAAAGCCTGCATTTGATTGCCTGGTAATAATGAAAGAATAAACATTCTGTTACTTTGATAGTAGCTCAGTTGCTCAAAATGTTCACACAAATCCATATAAAATATATGATATTATGTTTTATTATAGGTTCAGTCAGCTTCACTTACAATGACTAAACAATTCAGTAGACTTGCCTATTCATGTTTAATACAATGAACCTTGCCAACTACCACGTTTTGTATGCAGGTATACCTCACACTAACCAGGGATTGAGCATTTTATCCAGTTCGGACGATCTGACTTAAACGCGACTTCTACTAATCTCACTAATACTTTAGGAGCAACTTACTCTGTGCTGCAAGATGAAACGGAACCATAATCGGATTTACTGAGGGATTCCTGATGGGCTACAGCTTAAAACTGCCGAAATACCAGACAGGATATAAGACTTTGTTATGTGCTATTTATTAGTAATTAATCGTGCAAAATAATGATCAGTTCTGTTGCTAAAAAAACATGACATCGTGATACCTCTTTACATTTCCTTTGAGTCGAGAATCTGTAAAAGTCTGAGCCTTTTTGTACCATTTATTAGCTAATAGTTCCGTAAAACTACGGTACTATAGATACGTATTACTTTTTGTTGCTTGTAAGATAATTAGAACCCATATTAGTTATCAACTTGACCATCATCATTGAAATTTCAGCCCTAACTTTAGACACCTTCATTAGTTTAAGTCAAATAGATATATGTAGAATTTGGTTCAGTAAAAACATCCTAGCAGACACACTCGGCAGATCAACATCATCTGTAGGCTTAAGAGTAAAAGAACCAAAAATATCCCCAAAGTATACTTTTTTTTCACCATCCATTTTTTCAGGCATTTAACTACACTTTTAGTAATTAATCCTTCTAAAGTCTATTGGTTCATGTGACGATTATGATTGACAAGCATAAAATTTACGCTGTTCAACACTTTCTCACTTAGTGTAGGTTTATTTTGGATAAATGTTTATTGCCCATACACCATCATTATTTATCTGTCTTAGTTACTTTACTTTAAATGTGTGTTGTATTATGGAAAATAATCATTTCCCACACCGTTATTGGTCTGGAGTTACTATGGGTCTAATATAATGAAGGACAAGTGTAGGGGACTTCTGAATGTTTTGTCTTACCGTTGACTAATACAAAGCAAACAGATGGAAATACGATGCGTTTTCACAGTCGTCTGCTGCCATATAATAATTATACAAGTCCCTTTTAAAATAGTCAAAAAAGCAGTGGATCATTTCGTCATAGTTCTTTAAAAGTTTAGTTGTGCTACAAGACTATCCGTTTATGTTTACCAATAGCTTTAGTTTTTACCTAAATATTTTGTTCCCTTGAAAAACCTTAATTAAGCATTTTTGGTTAAGCACAAGGATGTTTTGAAAAAATATTGACATTTGTAACACAGATCTTGATTAAGTCAGAAAATGTCTCGTGTAAAATGTTTATATATCAGCCAACTGACGAACATAAAACAAATAAAAAAGTTACAGGTAAATTTCTGGGTTCTATGAAAGCAGTAAAAAATTTATTTTCCCCAAGTCGGCATCACATACTGTTGAAAATCTATTAAAACGTCTCAGCATTTTGTAGATTTTCATTGCCACTTCTCATACTTTCATAAATATACATATCTTTCCAACCAAAACAGCATTTCTAAACAAATACTTTTGAAGAGATATGTTTTTCAAATAAATATATTGATTTCCCAAAAGAAGTTTCAGCCAGACAGTATTAGAAAATATCCCAAGTTTATAAATCTTCACAACCAGTTCCATAAATATTAAGTCCTCTGCATTTGACCATTGTTAGGTTATATTATAACTACTTCTATTTATCCTGCTGTGAACATTTCCATTTCCAAGTATGCTTATATACCCATTTAAAATGCCTAAATATGTGAGTAGGTATGTAAAAGATTATCAGGTTCGAGATTATTTATTTTTTCTATGTTCTTACCATCTATATTTATGATAAACAAACGTGAATATGTTTATTTAATTTCGTGTTTTGAAACGAATTCGGTAGATGGTTTTAAGTATTCCATTTTGGCGCAACTTTTGTCAGTTATAAAACAGAATTTTTTGTGTAAAAATAATGTGTTAAATATCCATTTCCGTTAAAACAACTATTAACTAAACCAATTTAGTTAATTAAGTCAGGCATAGCTAACAAGTTCTCCACATTTCATGGCCTCTAAAGAAAACGATTATTAAAGAAAGTGTTATTGATTAATAAGAGATCAGCTTTTTCAGCCTTAAGGTAACTAAGTTTTTATTTTTGAGCTACTTTTTGATAAACATAATCTTTTTTTATCGCTTCACCACGACTGACCTCTGAGTAGTTACTAGTGTCACGTGTGCGTAGTCCTGTCCTAATTCGTTGTAATTTGTATGTTTCATTGGCAGATAGTTGAAAGAAATTGGCAGGAAGTGGAATCGACTTCATATCGGATAGCTTGTGGTAATGTAAATTATAGCTCTGTTTGATAGCAATTTGTCCTTGCTGAGTCTGACTAGAAATTCATATATCTATTTGTTAAAACTTAAGTTACAAGAAAGGTTTTCGGAGGTAAATAATTCATAAAGTGAATTTCGATTGATGAAGTAAAGTTTAATCCTATATATTGTCAGTACACAACGGTGTAGATTTTTGGAAGATCGATAAGATGGACTATGATGTACTAAAGCCTTACTGAATAAATCATTAAAGTGTGATAATCGAAAAAGTACATTTTCTGATACTCAATTAAGGTAAATCATCATGATATCAAAACGTTTCTCGATAGCTGAACGAATTTTCGGGATTTTACTACCAGTAAAATTACCTTAGCCCTTAAACACTTTATGAGTTGTATTAGTAAAGTTCTCAGCATAAAATTAACCAAATAGTTTCAACATCAGTTTGTGAACAGGTTCGTCTCAAAATACTTCGTATATACAGAGGACAAGATCAAGTGATTTTAATATCAGAAGATACAAATACTAATAAGTTTAGAAATGACCTTCGTTCTGATATTGAATACACGAGAGAGTATTGATTAAATACAACGAATGCGTCTGTTTCACTATAAACAAAAAGCGACACTGAATTTAAAATTTAATTGTCAAATCATTGAGTTGCTTTATCATGTAAGTTCTTACCATTGATGATATTATCACTGCCTCCTTCATACGTGATATTATTTTTCTCATGAAAGCAAAAGTTCTTTGAAGCATAGAAAATTACCTGTTCTAAAATTTATCAACATTTATTCCATTAAATGTCTACATAATATAAGGGCTGGTTTTTTATTACTTTGTTTATAATAAGTCACTTTCTGTTATTTGTTTAAACATTTTCAGTAGTAATTATTGGTAGTCTATGGGAACCATTTCCCTTTACGTAACTAACAAAGGTCATAAAATTCACAAAAATATAAACGCTCAATTAGTAGACCTATTTTTATTTATTGCTTATCAGCTACTATCAATGGCCAAGTATAGTGGTATATAGGTAAAAGTTTTGAGAAAATGGCCAGAATATGAGAGTAGATATGTTATCACAAATGAGTTTATTGTTTGGCTAAGTTTGTTATCATACTGTACTGTGAATATAGAGACTTCTTAGCCCAAATAATTATTTATCTCCTCCCATGGCTATTCAATAAACGTAAAAGACGGTGGATATTTTTATGTCAAATGTTAAAGCAATGATTTTTACTTCACCGTTAGTAGCTGTACAAACTTTCTACTAAAAGAGGTAGCTTAAGTTTAACTTATGTGAAATCCAAGTAAACGGGAGTGCAAAGTAAGCAGGGCAACGTAATACAAATCAGACCTTTTGTGTATTTTTATGCTCAATCTTAGAAAGGTTATTGAATTACCTTTAGAATGTACTATGTAATAAAAGTATCACGATAATGATTTTGTTTGAAGTTCAGCTAATCTAAATCAAGTAGATTGTAAACGAACAAATACCTAAAAAAGGAATAATACTATATATT